TGCAAAGCTCCCTAAATTCTCATTAGCATGTCACAAGTGCAATGTCTCTGAAAACGCTTAATTTCATAAAGGAACAAAAGAGTAGAACCATTCAAAGCATAGAGCTTTTAAAACCGTAAGCAAATGTGACAGCTAATGCATGGTCTGCTTTTACCAAAAGGTTCCACAGTGATATTTCATATCTTTTAGAAGTAAGTTTAAAACAGTCCACTCAATTATAGGCTACGCTTGAACAAGACAAAATTATATTTTCCTTAGTTGAGTTATGTAGCTCTGAACAAATTATTGCTTTTTACATGTATGATGCATAGAAATTACATCAAGCTCTCAAAAACAATTTACTTGGCCTGTAATAGAATAAACATTTCAAGGGTTCAGAACAGTTTTAGTTAAATTATACTCATACACACATCTACCTTATGTCCCATAGTACCCCCTCCAACAAGACTTCATTTTAACTATAAAGATGTGTGGATAAAAATAATGTTTTTGAGACATTTACTTTGGTAAAATCAAATTCAAGCTGTAGATTTTGTCTTATAGATTGCTACAATCTATACTCCTTTAATCTGTTAACTAACTATAAATACAATTTGTTTTCATTTCTAGAAAATAACTTGTATCATTAAAAATAACCAAAATAGTGAATTTCTTACCCAGGAACCACTAACTTCTGCCCGTTATGGATACGATATGAACATCGATAATCATCAGGAAGCTTGCAGCCAATCTGAGCTTCCACAGCATCCAGGTCCTCCTCTCGAGCACCCTCTGCAAATGCACAAAAAAAGCAAATTATGCAGAAACCCTAAGCCTTAAATCTAAGAAGAAATGCAATCTATCGCCTAGACAATGAGCAAGTGAATTCTGTCCGGAATATACTGCTGAAATATAAGGAAATGCACTGAAAGTTCAGAGAAATGTTACATCACTTTAGATGGGCTCTGACATTTGAAGGACTGAGCAAGCAAATTCCTCAATTTTCTCTTACTAGGGAAAACACTGGCACTAAGTAAAATATGGAATAGTAGGCACCAATGAGACGTGCAATAATTTTTTCACATTACAACATAAACTTTAGAGCATATCCCATTTTTCTTAATCTAATATACTCACACTTCTCTATTTTAAAAGCTCTCCAGAAGTTCTCTAAACCGATGTTGTTCAAGAGTTTTAACCTAGTCTCTTAATGGGAAATACAGAGCTTGGTGTAGGTTCATGCTGTGAGGTCATTACCTAGGACTCAATTTTTCATGTTTGCAAGCTTGCCATACATTCTAGCTCTAGAAAGCAGTAACTACAAATACCAAGGGAAGAGATTCACTCCTAGCAATGGCCCACCAGGTTGCTGGACCAAACCTCTTGCTGAGAACTAGAAAAACTGAACAACAGAAAACTGGTTTCAAGGCTTTTGGAGAACTTACAGGCTGTGAGAGCTGGGGGTATTGGTGGTTGGGGAGGAGGTCCAGAAGAACAGGGAAACTAAGAGGCGAGCTAGGCCTTTGGAGCCACCTCGTCTTTGAGGCAACTGCCAATTCTGAAAGCATACATACAGCTGACAGATCGAGAAGCTGAGCAAAGCTTTCAGCGGTACCACAGGATTGAGAGAATTTTCCAAAATTGATGAAAACATCAATCTTATAAACTCCACAGAGAATAATTACAAAGAAAATCATTATCTAGACACATTATTGGAAAACTGCTAAAAATCAAAGACAGAGAGAAATCTCAAAAGCAGCCAGGGAAGGGGAAAAGCCACAGTCGCCTTCAGAGGAACAACAATGACAGTTAAATTCTCAACAGAAACAACAGAACAGTATCTTCAGGTGCTGAGAAAGATAACCACTGACTAGAATTCTATATCCAGTGAATATATACTTCAAAATCGAAGATGAAATAAATACATTTTTTTGACAAAAAAAGATCTGAAAATACTCAGCAGTAGCAGTCCCTCATTAAAAATAAAATACTAAAAAGAATTCTTTAGGCAGAAGAAAAATGGTCCCAGGTGGAGGCATGAAGATACAGGAAGAAATGAAGAGTAAGCAGAAAAGGTAAACACGGAGGTAAATCCAAGGTAGTATTGAATATATAAAATAATGTTTCCAAGGATATAAAATATGTTGAAAACCAAAACTACAAAAGCACAGCACAAAGACAGGAGGGAGGTCATTGAAACTGAAATACTCTCAGATTCTCTCATTGTCCAGTAAGTGGTAAAAACATTAAGTTACAACAGACTTTAAGTCAGAGATACACGTTTTAATCTCTAGGCTAATCACTAAAAAAAGTTAGATAAATAAGGAAAGCAGGTATGGAATAAGAGATAAGAAGGACGCAAAAAAGGAACACCTACTCACTTGGCACAAATCAAAAATAGAAACATGGGCCCTTTTTTGCTCCCTCCTCTTTGGAGACGGCCCACACTCTGTCTATGGAGTGTGTACCTACTTTTACTTTAACTTGAGCACCCAATTCCAACACCTCTCCTTGCCTTTCTCTTGCCTTACACTCTATGTAGAACGTATCTTTTATCTACCTTTACTCAAAAAAAAAAGAAACATGGTATATTTTAATTCAAATATATTAGTAATTATATTAACTATAGACTAAATAATCTAATTAAAAGACAGACCAGATGAAAAACAAAACATAATTATAAACAAGAGGCACATCTTAAAGATGTAGATACAGAAAAGAAAGTTAAAATAGCTCTACTCAAATCATACAAGATAGACTTTAAGGCAAATAGCATTATTAGAGATAATGGAGGACTTTCTGTAATTGCAAAAAAGGTTAAATTCACTACATGGGTATTCTAACTCTAATTTTGTGCATCTAATAACACAGCTTCAAATTAAAATGGGAAAAAAGATAAATCTGCAATTACAGTGGGTGTATTAGCTTTCTACTGCCACAATATTAGCAGCTTTAAAACGACATTCATTTATTATTTCACAGTTTCTGTAAGTCAGAATTCGGGCACGACTGAAGTGGCTCCTCTACTCGGGTCCCACAAGGCTGAATCACAGTGTAAACTGGGGCTGCTAGCTCATCTTATGCACCTTCTGCTTGGGGTCCTCTTCCAAACACACTGGTTGTTAGAAGAACACAGTTCCTTGTAGTAGTAGGACGGAGGCTCTCAGCTAGGAGCCACCTGCCATTCCCTATCACCTGGCCCTCTCCACAACATGCCAGTTTGCTTATTCATGTCCAAGATAAGAGACACCCATGCTTTGAATCTCTCTGACTTCTAGGGGGCCCAGTTCTTTTTAAGGGCTCATTTGATTGTGTCAGGCCTGCTCAAGATAATTTCCCTTTTGATTAATGCAACTAATTTGGAACCTTAATTACATTTGCAAAACCCCTTCACTTTTGTCATATAATATGACCTAATCACAGGACTGAAATCAATTATATCCACAGCACCACTCACTCTCTCAAGGGGAAGCTTTCATTGTATCAGGAATGTACACCAGGGATGGGAATCTTGGGAACTCTCTCAATTATGCCTACCACAGTGAGAAATTTTAACACACCTCTCAGTAACTAACAGAACAAGGAGACCAAAAAACCTAGTAAGAGTGCAGAAGATTTGAACATGATTAATAGTTTTTGACTAATTACATATATGTAATTATGGCAATAATGGCAATAATGACAATATGTACATTCTTTTCAAGTGTATATGGAATATTTACCAAGACGGATTACATGCTGGACCATAGAACAAATCACAACAAATTTCAAATGACTGAAATCATATAGAGTATATTCTCTGATCTCAGTGGAATTAGAATATAAATTATATTAAAAAGATTACAAAAAAAAGCCCCAAATGTTTAGAAATCAAGCAATACATTTCTATATAATCCATGGGTCAAAGAAGAAATCAAAAGAAATCAGAAAATATTTTGAACTGCATGTTAATGAAAATACAACATATTAAAACTTGTGGGATGAAGATGAAGCTATGTTTAAAGGGAAACTTACAGCCCTAAATGCATTTGAAGAAAACAAGACAGGCTAGAAACATCTATGATCTAAGTTATAATCTCAAGCCAGGAAAAAAGTGACAGCAAAGTAAATTCAAGGAGAAGAAACCAGAGAAATTAATGAAATAAGAAATGAACATAGAGAGGATTGACAAAGGCAAAAGCCAGCTCTTTGAAAATACTAATAAAATTGATTAGCTCCTACCTAGCAAAACTGATCAAGAATTACAGAGAGAAGACACAAATAATATCAGAAATGGAAGGGTGAAATCACTATGGATCCAGCAAGCATTACAAAGCTAAGAAGATATTTTGAAAAACTTCATGGCAATAAATTGGAAAATGTAGATGTAGTGAACAATTTCCTAGAAACACACAACTTATCAAAGCTGACATGAGACTAAGTAGAAAATGTGAGTAGTCCTACATCTGATAAAGAAATTGAATCCTTAATGTAAAACCTTCCCACAATGAAAACTCCAGGACTGAATGGCTTCAGTAGTATATCTACTAATCATTTAAGCAAGAAATCAGACCAAGCTTACATAAACTCTTCCAGGGAACAGAAAAAGAGGCAACACTTCCCGATCTTTTTACAAGGCCAGCATCATCTTGATACTAAAACCTGACAAGAACATTGCAAGAAAGGAAAATTACAGGCCAAACTCTTTCATGAACATAGAAGTAAAAACCCCAAATACGAGCAAATAAAATCCAACAGTATATAAAAAAAATAATACATGACAACCAAAGTAAATTTATTCCAAGAATGAGAAGTTGGTTTAACATTCAGAAAATCAATCAATATAATTCAGCACACTAACAAAATAAAGTAGAAAAGTCATATGATAATCACAAGGCTGGAAAGGCATTTGAAAAATTCAAGTATCCACTTAAAACACAAAACAAAAAACCCTTTTCTCAAACTAGGATCAGAAGGAGCTTTCTTCAATCTGCTAAAGAGTACCTACTAAAAACCGACAGTAAACATCATCCTTAAAGGGAAAATGCTGAAAGCTTTCCCTCTGCAGTCAGAAAGATAAGTATGCTCCCTATTCATTTCTATCCAGCTTCGTACTGAAGGCTCTAGCCAGTTCAATAAAACAAGAAAAATAAAGAAAAGGCATTTAGGGATAGGAAAACTAGCGATAAAACTGTCATTATTCTACATCTTCAAGGAAATGCAAATTAAAACCACCAGTACACAACCACCAGGAAGCCTAAAATAAAAAGAATATCAACATTAAAGTGTTAGTAGGAATGTGAAGTAATAAAACCACTTTGGAAAATGAACAGTATCTTTTGAAATTTAATATAAGCACACTCTACAACCCAGCAAACTCAATCCTAGATAGTTATCTGATAGAAGTAAGTTCATATGTACATCAGTAATGATTTACAGCATTATTTGTAATAGCCAAAGACTAGAAGTAACCCAAATATCCATCAACAGTGAAATGAATATATAAACTGTGGTCTAACCATATAATGGACTATTTATACTCCGAACAAAAATGAACAAACTACTGTTACCACACAACACAACTGAATCTAACAAATGAAACAAATAATTCACACAAAATACACACTTAATCATGCAAAATATATGAAGTTCAAAAAGAGAGGAAACTACTCAGTGGCATTAGCAATCAGGATAGTAGTCATGCCTGAGAAAGACAGAGGGTTCTAGGCACACGTAATTACTCTACCTCTAGACCTGAAGGGTGTTACAGTGGGCATGTCCGTAGTGTGATAATTCACTGAGTTGTTCACTTATGATCTGTACACATTTCTACAGGTTGGTCAACATCACTAGTGATAGCCTGTGGGTATCACATACCCCAAGATATGTGATGAGGACACTTCACCTTGGTGGTAATCTGAAAACCCATTACCCCAGTCAACCATGAATAATACTTTTTTAAAAAGTCAGTTTGAGGGACATACTGCAAAATACATGACCAGTACTCCTTTCAACTGTTAAGATCATGAAAGGCAAGAAAAAAATGAGAAACTTCCACAGACCAGAGGACCCTAAGGAGACATGACAACTAAATGCAATGTGGTATTCTGGACTGGATGTAGGAATTGAAAAAGGATTCCACTGATGGAAAATCTGATGAATTCCCAATGAAGTATGGAGTTTAGTTAATAGTGATATCCCAATGAAGACTTTAGTTTGACAAATGTCCCACAGGGTGGTCCATTAGGGGAAACTGCAGCTGGGTGAGGGGTGTACAGGAACTCAGGAACTCTGTGTACTATCTTTGCAACTGTCTTGTAATCTAAAACTACTACGAAATAAAAAGGTTACTAAAAAAAGCTTAGTACAAAAGAAAACAAGCTGAATATGCTGCCTGAACCAGAAGGTGAGTGAGGAAAAAAACTTTTATATAGTTAGTGCTACATATTGGATATTTAACATGCAACATTAAGAAAAGCTATAGCAAGCCAAAAAAAAACTAAAACAACAACAAACAAACAAAGCAAAAGACAATACAGTGTTTACAACACAGTGAAATCAAAGTTTAAAGGTGCGTTCTACTATAATAGAATTTGGGAGCCAGACAGACCAGGCTGAAATAATAGCTCTACCAATTACAACAATAGGACTTGAGCATCTGCGGACTTTGATATCCTCAGCTGGTTCTGGAATCAATCCCCTGAGGATACCAAGGGACGACTATACTGACTGTGACCCCTGGCAAGTTATTTCACCTCTTTTACCTGGTTTCCTCATCAGCAAAATAGAAGATAATACCACCTACCTCAGAGAATTACATTGAGGATTAAATAAGCTTCATGTACTTAATAAAATGCTTTATTGGCATTCAACAGGTATTCATTTACTTTCCTTGCCCCTGGCCTACTTATATGAGGAAGCAGTGAAAAGGAGCCAAGAAACCTAGATTAGAGTTCTCTGTTAGTTACTGGTATGGGACCTTGCAAAAGTCACCTAAACTCTCAGAGCCCGTTCCTTCACCTATAAAATGAGGGGACTGGTATAAATCAGGCATCGGCAAACTACAGCCTGCAGGCCAAGTCCCAGCCTGCCACCTGTTTCTGCTAATAAGATTCTCTTGGAACACTGCTACACACATTTGGTTTTGTACTGTCTATGGCTGCTTTGCCACAACAGCAGAGTTGAGTGGTTGTGACAGAGACCATCGGTCCCCTAAAGCCTAAAATATCTACTATCTGGTCATTCAAAGAAAAAGTTTGTCAATCCGGGTATAAATGATCTCCAAAGTCCTTTCCAGCTCTAAAAGTCTAAGCCAACACTTAAGGTTAATAAGCAATTCGAAGATACATGATATATACCATTAGATAGATTGGTAGAAGGTATGTCAATATATCATAATTTCAAGATACTTCATAAAAATTTTACCAAGCCCAATGCCTATTTGCTTTCCAAGTTTCCTTCCTATTTGTGATCTCTACAACCTCAAAACCAAGTCAGGGACTATGGGTCTTGAGTAGCTAGGTTCCTGAATCCATCCTAAAACTCCTAGGCCTACATTTCCAGAATCCCCAGCTTCTAGATATCAAAGCCTTTATCCTATTCCAACTCATGGGGAAGACCCCAGAGAACTGGCACCTGGGAGTAAAGCAGGGGGAGCTGTCAAAGAATTCTCTGACAGCCTCACCTCCAACCACCAGGTACAGAGCAGTGAGCAGGGAGCCTGAGGATACCAAACTGAGTGTATGTGGGGTGGGGTCGGGGTGGGCAGATAAAGAAAAAGAAAAAAGGAAGAAGCTGTTATGTATCCTTAAGTTTCTTCCTTTCCTGGTAGCTCTGTGCCTCAAAGGAGAACCATGTCTACACTCTCATATTCCAAATATCCTAATATTGGACTAGCTCTCTAAGAGTCCTAAGACATTCTGAACAATGTAGGATAGGTCCCCTCTCCCTTCAGCTGCTATTAAGACCACAACTCTGGAGTCAGCCCTACATTCAAATCCTGGCTCTGACTTTGCTTTGTGATTGCACACAACTTACTTAGCTTCTTATGCCTCAGGTAGCTCACCTATAAAATGAGAATAGCAATTACCTATCCTCACAGAATTTTAGCAACTTAAATGCAATAATACAAAGTACTTAGCTTAGTGCCTAGCTCTGTGTTTAGTAAGTAATAGCTACCGCAAACCCTTACCTATTTTACTTATTACCTCCAAATATCTGTTTTCAGAATTATTTTCCTCTTGAAATTATTTAACACTACATACCAAGTAGATAATACTATTATTTTCTTCCAAGAAAAAAGCCATTAAAAATATTAATCAAGGATACTTTCCTTCAAAGCTCTACTCTCTCTGCCAAATCATTCTTTCTTCTACCTCCTAGCAATTCAGTTTTAAGTACCTGGTCATGCAATCATGATTTGTATGAAATTCATATTTGCATTCATATTTGCAGCAGAAATATGACATGTAAAAAGAATGCCACTTCAAAAGAGACCTTGGTTCAAAAGGAATACATTTGAGAAGAACTGATCCCAATTTCAGCTTAGCAAAACCAAAACACATACAAAATTCCTTTTAGTGGAGAAATTTGAAAAAAATTTGGAGGCTAAAGCAGATAAGCAGCAATATAGCTGCAATCCATTTATGTATTTCTTGGGCATAAGTTAAAAATTCAAGCAATGGGAAATAGCTTATTAATATTTCTTGCCAAAATTGGACAATAATAGGAGAGAGAACACAGATTCTGGAGTCAAACAGACCTCGGTTCAAGTCTTAATTTTCATTATTCTATAAATATCAAAACAGGGATGGAAGTTTTCCCTACCCTGTGCTGCTCTTACATGTTTAAAGACCAAGTCTGAGATATTTGGTCTTTCCAAATATTAGACTGTCAAATAAACACTTTACAGAAAATAGGGAAGATGGTTGACACAGCAGGCAATTTTTCAATTACAAAAATAAGGTCTTTTAAAAGAAATCACAATAGTTATCCTCAAGCAGTTTTAGAATAAATAGTTTTTTTTAATGTGAAACAAATATAAGGATAAAAAAAGTTCAGCTTTCCTTTTTAATAAAGAATCATGTGGATCCTGAGATAGGCAAAAATAGGGCAAGCGCTGGACCAGGGTCCTTTTAGCAATACAGGCTTTCTATTTCCTTGTCCAAATGTGAATGGGGAACAGCAGATAATGTTGGATTAGCACAGACCAGCATAGATGATAGAAACCCAAAGTTATTTAAGCTATTTATACCATAGTAACTAAAATGGGGAAGGGAGACCATGCATTTCCAATACCTTTCAGAGATAAAACCATCCGAGGACATCTGGGTTCCAAGTACTTCTTGAGATCATCCCAGGCCTTTTTAATAGCAGCATAATGGTCAATATATCTTCCTACATCAGAGTAAGTATCTATGAAGAGGGATTTCCAACACTGGTTCTTCTGTGTTTTCTCTTCCCTAAGTAGATTTAAAAAGTAAAATTAAAAATCTTTTGAAATGAAATTAGCATATATTTCAGACACTTACCAATGTACTTTGTTGGGAATCTGTGGTTCCGTTTGTCTTCCTTTTCATTTACTTTAGCTACAAGGGAAGACTAGATAGCAAAAAGTGGTATGTACATCACAAAATTTAACAAGAGTTATTGCTGGTATGGTGGGATGGTGAGTGACTTATTTTCTTCCAAGTGTTCTAATCCTTAATAAGATATAATGTGAATTGTATACGGAGTATGAATTTCAGCTTACTCCTAAAAACATGCCAACTATAATATTTTAAAACATATATGTAGTTTCTCTATTTTAGAGAATATTTAGAATCTAATGATGCAATAATACTAATCTAATTTACCTACATTATATTAGCCAGAGAATCACAGCATAACAAAGGAATCACATAATTCAATATTTCTATTTGGTACAATTCCACAAACATTTATTGTCTACTTAGCCAATGAGGACATTAAAAATAAGGCACACTTTTGGTCTTCAAAAACATGTACAGTCTAATCAGAGAGAAAGAATGAAGTATAAATTTAAGAGTCAGAAGTGGTACAGGATAAGGCAGCTAGAAAGGGCCTTAAGGTAACATACTAGTGACCTTGGACCTTATTCTGTAGGCAATGGAGAGCCACTGAAGGGTTTTCACAGGAGAGTTAAAAGAACTCTCTGTGGCTGTGGTGTGGGAGTGGTGTACACCAGAGGCACAGGGATGAGGTAGGTGGATTTGCGGCACTCTTGGTAAGAGATGATTAACTGAACTAAAAATGTGGTGGCTAGGTGAAATGAGTAGAAAGATTCAAAAAATGTACAGGGGCTAAAATGAAAAAGGCTTGGTAACTGAATGAATATAGAGAGAGGAGAGAAGAGAACTAGGATGATTCCTGTTTCTGGCTTGGATGCCCAGATGGACAACACTGCAATGAAGACATGAGTGCAGGAGGATCAGGTTTAGGGATGGAAAAAAGAACAATTCAGGGTGTTGTGTGCCATGTGTGTTTTTTGGGGGCGGGGGCAGTGATGGAAGGGAAGTATCTCTTTATTAATCTAAATAATATACGTATGTTAGTGAAACCAAAAAATATCAAATAGCATATGATGAAAAACTAGGCAGTTTGCTGTTCTAAGCCCAAACCCTCAAAGGAAACTTCAGTTATTTCTGGAAGTAATCTCTATAGTTCTAAATGTTTATGCCTCTAGTTCTTGATTTATCAAGTTTACACCTATCTACTGGTACCCCAAAGTATAAAAGATCAGGATACAGCAATACTTAAAATTCCCTCTTCCCTACTCTTTCTCCTCCCAATGTTTGGTGGGTCTGCTATTAATTTTTAGTTCTATCAAGTAGCTTGCAGCTTTAAATAATATATTTAAACCTCTACTTCCTGCTTCACCAACTTTCGTCACTATCTGACTCCCCTCAATCTAAGAAAAAGATACTAGTAATCCTACCCTTTCTTCACCTTTTCCAACTCCCACCTTCTGTCATCTACACTTTTTTATTCTGTCAGATTTATTAGCATTTACTGAATTCAGTGAACCGTATGGGCCATCCAAAGGAAGGATCCAGAAAACAGTTGTACAGACAGGGGTGGACATTCAGGTTTGGGAGTTAGAAGCATGGAGGGAGTCTCCACAGACTGCAAGAGTGCATGCAGGAGACTTCACAGAGGGAGAAGGGCAGTGAGCAGAGGACAGAAGCTTGGAGAATACCTGCATTTACTGACAGGCACAAGAAGAGCCATCCAAGGAGACAAAGAGACAAGGGTCAGAGAGGAGGATCATGCTAGACTAGCATTGTGGAAGCCAAGGGCCAAATTCAAGAATACATGTTTCCCAAATACTCACTCAGATATCAGCCAGTATTTTTTGCAATGTCTTCTCCACAGCGGATCATGACTTGATAGCTGACTAAGTCTTCGACTGACATAGCAACAACTGGCAGTAACCAGATTCATGTTTAGAATAAAAGAAAACAGGAAAATAATTTTAAAATAAAGATGAAAATATTCAATGTTAAGTTTTGTTTTATTCCCTTTGCTTTTCTTATTTTCCACTTTCTACCCTTATAATTGCGAAACAGTATTTTCTAAAACCTGTTTAACATGTTAGCTAGTATAATTACCTTGTGAGTAGTAAAATCTTAACTATTTGAGTTCATACATAAACCCCAAAGTGTCTACAACTGAAATTTTCATACAAAAGTCTATAAAACATATAAACCATTAGCGTTCATTTCAAATCAGAAAGCTTCCCTATATTTATTATTGGAGCAGTTCATTTCTACATATAGAAAGAAATGTTATTCAAGTGTAAATAAAGTCGTTTTTCTTTTTTTCTTTTTAAGATCTGTGAGACATCTGTATTAAATACACAGATCTTTGGTTTGTTCTAATTCTTTTCTTAAAAGAAAGAAATACTGTAGCCAAAACACTTTTTAATTACAGCAGCTATTGGAAAGCCCACCTATAAGAGGTGTCAGATTCACAACAGTTCTGATTCAGTTTCCACAGCTGTTCAAGTAAGTATCAGCTGCTTAAAAACCTGGAATGTCAGAAACAAATGATTTTCTTATTATACAGAGATTTCTAATACAATAGTGCTCCAATCCTGTAAATCCTACCCTACATAATTAATTTGCAAAAAGAATGAAACTAAGATTTAAAAAAAAATAGATTTCTATCCTTTCAGAAGAGAACTTACAAGTTAGAGAAAGTAAGTATTCAAAGATCTTACTTGGGCAATAGCTGATCAATTAAGGGACTCTTCAATCACATGGGGTTTGTGAAGGCCATGAGTGAGACATGTCAAAAAACAACTGAAGGTAAATAGAAGAGCCTTTGTTGTTTTTCAGATTTTACAGAAACATTCTCATCCTCTTCTGCCAAGCTCAGGAGATGCCCAAACTAACAGTTGCAAATATAAGAATCCCTCCAGTTTGGGGAATTCAGAGTCCATTTCCTCTTTTCATCTCTCTCCCTCCACTGTCTCAAGTGTTAACAACATAAAAGATTGTCTGGAATATGCACCAAAGGTGATTGTGATACACATCAAGGATGAGATCTACTGTTATAGAGGTTCTGACTCAGTCTGCATGGGGTGAGATCTGTACCGCAGGCAAGTGTGTATCTAAAAAGTGTCACATGTAATTCAGATACATAGAGGGTTAAGGGTTATGAATGATACACAATAAATCACTCTGGAAAGGAGAAGGAGATTCAAACTATGCCCTTTATATTATACAATGATCCCAATGGACTAATCCAATCCAACCCATTCCAGTTCAGCAAATATGTATGCCAAACTTCACAGCTTAGCAATGGCCAGGACACTCGACAAAGTTGGGTGTATAGTGCAAGAAAGAAGTTGTGGTACACAGGAAACTCTTCTGTAGATAAAATTCAATGGTATTTGTGTCAACTTGCCTGGGCTAAGGGATGCCCAGATGGCTGGTTAAACATTATTTTTTGATGTGTCTGTCCAGAAAAGATTAGCATTTAAATAGGTGAACTAAATTAGCCAGATGACCCTCCCAATGTGGGTGGGCATCATCCAATCCATTGAGGGCATGAATAGAACAAAAAGGGAGAGGAAGGTTGAATCTGTTCTCTGCCTGACAGCTAAGCTGAGACATTGATCTTCTCCTGCCCTTGGCGCTCCTGGTTCTCATGCCTTCAGACCCAGACCAGAATCTACACCATCAACTCTCCAGCTCTCAGCCCTTTAAGCTATACAACCATCTCTCTTGGGGCTCTAGCTTGCAGACTGCAGATCGTAGGACTTCTCAGCCTCTGTAATTCACGAGCAAATACCTTATAATAAATTACACACACACACACACACACACACACACACACACTATTGGCTCTGTTTCTCTTAAGAATGCTAATACGGTATTCAACTCAGTTCACTTCCACAAACATTTTTGAGGGATCATGTCACTTCTGTTTAAAACTTTGACTACCTAAAGCATTTCAAATAAAATCTGATCTCTGCACCTGGTCCTGCATGATCTCACTAGTCTCTTCTCAAGCTACTCTGCCTGTGAGTCACTCTCTACCTCCTGCAACACCAGTCTTCTAGCTCCTCCAACAGGCTATGCTATTGTCCAATCATCTTCTGAAAACACTGTACCTTCTGCCAAGACTGCTCATATGCTGTCTTTCATATATGGCAGCTCCTTCCAATTTGAACAGATTCCTTAACAGAGCAATTGGTTTATTTCCTTCATAGCACATAGCAGCTCCTATAATTATACATGTTTGTTTTTTCTGTCTTTCCCAACTAGACTGTAAGCTTTTGAGAGGGGCCTTATCTGTCTTGTTCACTAGTATATCCCAAACATTTAACAGGCTGGCACATAGCAGGCACTCGAAGAAAAAATCAGTTGAATAAATGGTGACGACAAAGGTAAACATAGTTTCTACATTTAAGATATGCATTATTTATTTGGTATGATAAATAAACAAGCAGAGGAAGGAAGAAGGTAGAGCTAGGACTCAGGAGAGGGCATCTTAAAGGAATTCCATTTTGCCAAGTTGAGAAAAGAGAGCAAGGCATTCCAGATAGGGTCAAGAGCTTAATACACAGAAAAAAACCCCACAAGTTGTGGTATGCTGGCAGAGGTCTACTTGGCTAGAGTGGGCTATGCCAAATAATGAGGGACTTAAATGCTCCCAGAAGTTTAGGTTATAATCTGTAAACAAGGGGCATTATAGGTTTTTGAGGAGGATGAAAGATATATCCTAGATCACTCTGGGAGCAATGTAGCCCAAAGATCAAAAGGGGGTGTGTATGTGTTAGATTTCTAAGAGACTATACTCTATCAACAGAATATTTCAGATGAAAAGAGTATACAACTGGAAGAGACTTTTCCGAAGAAAAGATAAACTTTCTTTCTCTGCTTTAGAACAAGCCTGAGCAGATAAAAATTTGTTTTCTAGAAAAATAAAAGTGTTACAGGTACTAATATAGATAGCAGCCAGAAACTGGAGTTTTCCCTCTGTCACCACTTAGCTAGATCAACCAACAGCTACCAGTAATTCCTAGAAGCCTGTATTTCTAAAAGGATGCCTGCCAACACAAGGCACAATCATCAAACGGCTACAATCCAATGGTTAATCCAAAAGACAAAACGAAATCTCGCTACCCATCCTTAAGAGGGCGACTCTGCCTCCTCTGCAAAGATACACGGTGGCACAAGAAAGGCAGAGCCATGCCACTAGCTGTCAAGGGTGTAAACAGCGCCATTTCTTCCACTATCCCCAGCAGCCCCAAGCGCTGAAGGAACTAGCATTTAACCACTCTTACCAGCAACCGGTGTTTATTTTTGGAATAGATGTCAGTAATGTGGGAAACCCAAAGCGTACAGGAGAGAAGATGGTCACCTGTATCGCACCACCGGAAGTCAGTACCAAAACACAAAATCCAACACGCAGCCGTGAGCCGGGAGGCTGAAAGCGAAACAATCATCTCGCATAAAAGTCCGAAAGTGCGCCCTGCGAGATATTATGCTGCCGCAGAAGTCGCACCTTAAGATTCAGAGGGTCGCCTGGCTCCTCTCGGGCATCTCACCTGCCCACTCTGGCGCCCGACTCCGCAGGTCCGGGACCCTCGCAGAGAAGAGGACTCGGCCAGGATGAGGACCTTTCCAAAGCGGCCAGGGCTGGCCAAATCCGGCAAAGACCCCGAGGGCCGGCAGGTGCAGGGCGCAGGGGTCCGCGGGGAGGGAGCGGGGAACAGTACCTCCCCGCTTCCCACAGGGCCTCGCCGAGGCCTGGGAGAGGGGGCTCTCGACGCTCCTCAGGCCTGGGCCTTGGACGGGAGGACGACCTCAAAGCGGGGCCCTTTCTGCCCCCGTCTCGCCCCGGCCCCCGAGGGGCTCTGCAGGATCAGGGGCGGCCCCGGCGTCACCTTTTGGCTGACGCGGGAGTCCGGGTCCCGTCGGCGAGCGGGGCCTCAGTCCTTCCTGCCTTACTGCTTCCTCCCCCACCCATGACCACACCCGTGTCACGCGCATCATCCCATTACTTGATTAGGTCCCGGTAGTCCAAGAAGGATAAGATGAGGAGCAGGGGGTCGGTGGGCAGCGATTCTAGGGTCAGCGGCGCCGACTCGGTCTCCACGGCCGCCATCTTGCCTGGTCCGGTGCAGGCCTGGCCCCGCCCTGGCCCCGCCCTGGCCCCGCCCCCCGCCGCC